TTACATGGAAGTCCACGATGAAGGGAAAGACGTCGAGATGCCGCACATCTACATAGTTGCCAAAGGCAAGCCCAACCTTTCCGATTCAAATGGCCAAATCTGACTCCCAGCATAGGAACCGAGGTGCCTGGTCATCTCATTCTCATGGAGGGACATTCTGATTTGGGGTTCTTTTCCCTGCAGCCTTCGCGCGGCATGACGCTCGATGGTGAGATTGCGCCGACCCATGCATGCCAGCGCGCGATATCCTAACAGCCTCACAGATCTGAACTGTTCCCTGGACAAGTTCTATTGCGAGCATGCAGTGAAAAAGAGACCGCGGATGAGTGACTTCACAAGCACCCATATTCTGAGTCCTTTGATAGTGCTCAGGAATGATGGCTGAAGATGACAAAATGATGCACCTGAAGCGGGCGTCTGAGCATGGGTTCTGACTCATGACTGTCACGGTCTCTTCATCTACACCAGCTTGGTTCTTCCTCATCCGTTTCGATTCCACACCAACCGACTCGGACTATCAATTTCCTCCCCCTCATTGCCCCTTGGGAACGGCCGTCGCCCAGGGGAAAGCGGTCGTGACCGGCGACCCATATGAGCCCAAATTATTGTAGTCCTTGCTCGTTGGCGTGCCAAAGAAGATCTTCTGCACGTAGGGGAGGATGGCTGTGCTGTAATACAACGAACCTCGGTCAGTCTTGCTCGAAGCAGGGTAGATCCAGCACTCACAATCCACTCATGTCACATTGCCCACCGCTGCGCACGCTCATGGCAATCTTGTCTCCCACGCCGAGCCAGTCGTACACCACCTTGGCCGCGGGATAGACGATCACGGCTGTCGCCTTGCTGTTGGTGAACTGGTCGCCGGTGCCCTGGTCGATGACGAGCGCCCGGGGCGCGAGGGCCGCGGCGATGGTGTGCGCGTCGTAGGGGAGGTACTCGGCGTGGTTCACAAAGCTGCCCAGCTTGCTGTTGGTCCACCACCCAGCCCCTTGCTTGCTGTTCTCCAGGTTCTCGCCCTGCCCGCTCATGGTGTAGTACCGGTACGGCCCCAAGCCCTGCACGCCCGACGACATGGGCATGGTCAGCGTGATGCGCGCGTCGAACAAGCCCGCCGCGAGCGCGCCCTTGCCCAGGCGGGAGCAGCCCGTCACGCCGACCCGCGTCGCGTCGATTTCCGGGACGGTCATGTTGATGGCGTCGAGCACCCGGTGGAAGGCCCATGCCCAGGCCGTCAGGACGCCTAAATTATCAGGTAGGTTAACGGCGCTGCTCTTTCTTAGAGACAGCAAACTCACCAATATCCCGTCCATTATAAAGACTCCAAAATGCTCCCGTCTTCGCATTGCTATCCGGCGCCACAGCCGTATAATCAAACTGGGCAATCGCAATGCCCGCACTCAGATACGGCTGATTCTGCATCCCGCCAATGTTGATCACCACCGGCGCAGGCTTGCTCGCGGACGCGCCCGACGGCAGCGACACGCTCGCCCGGAACGTGCCCCTCTTCCCATTGGCGGTGACGGCAATGTTGAGGGTGTTCCCACTGCGCGTGGCCTCGACCGTCTCGGCGCTGTGGTCCGGGTAGTAGCCGTACTGGTACTCCTGCAGCAGGCGCAGGAGCTCGGGCTGTCGGCACGCGTACCATTCTTCGTGGGTCTGGATGCGCCCCTGGGCCTTGCCGGTCATGACGCTTTGTACGTCGTTCGGCGTGGTGTATGTCAGCGGGAGGAAGGGGTCGGGTACGGTCGATTGCTGCGGGAGCTGCTGCCAGGTTGGGAAGGGCGCGGGGACTGGGGCGCACTGCACTGTGCTGTTGCCCGACTGGCGCGGATCCGGAGGAGAGGCGGTGCTGCGGCTGCTTATCGCAGCTGCGATCAAGGCGTATGAGGTAGCTCGCATATTGGAGTGCTGTTGTCGTCAAGTTCTTGCCACGGAGCAATGCAATCGCTAGCCCGCAGCGGCCCCATCTTCACATGGGAGATGGTCCGAGATATACCAGTTTCCATCGACATTATGCGGTGGGTTCAACCCCGTGGGGAAGGTTACAACCTGTCAGCATATCCTCCGAGGCTAGTCCATCCCGTCGCCCGGCGCCGCCTAGGCATTGGAGTCAGATGTTGGGACGTGTGGGCTTGGCTGATTCAACCTATGGCTCAAATCCGAATTATCCATATTGGATCGGAGCTCAATCGTCGGGATCCATTACCACGACAACGTGTCGGGACAGCCGGATTGCGAGACAGGACACATGGAATTCGACCGCTTGTCGCAAGAGTGATCAGATCCAAGACCTAGGAAAGCGGCTGGATAAAATGATGATCGATTTGGGCCTACGGCGCACCAGGGATATAAGGTGAGTCTGATCAGAGCCAGGTCGTCTAACGTTAGTGGTTGCCATTTGCCAACCTGAACCACAATGCAAAACCGATTACGAATACAAACCGCGCATCACAACAATGGCAGCACCGAGGTCTTTGGCCGCCTCCCGAGGATTGATATTAGAGCCAAGGATGACATTGAAGCGAGTCGGAAAGCAATTGATGTTTCACCAACCCCGGACAGGGTCAGAAATAATTGAGAAGTCCGTTAATTTCATTTTCTCACTACACTCGTATGTACCTGGTGTTGAGCTAACCCTAGTCGTGCTCCCCAAGTTCACGCCACCCGTTGCCCAACTTATGGTGGGCTTCCTAACCAACCAACCGTCACAGCAATGCCGGAAACTCGGGTTTGCCGGTGCCCAGAAGGAATCCAACCAGTCTAACCGGTGTAGGAGCAAGTCAAGTCGGCGCCGCTGGTGCCACAGTTGGTGAGGATCCTGCCGCTTTGGCGGATGTCGATGATGGTGGCGCCCTGGGGCGTGACGCGGCCGCTGGAGCCGGTGGCGTAGGCGTTGGTGAAAGTGACGGAGCCGAAGTCGGCAAAGGGGATCAGGCTGTTGCCGACCTGGAAGTCCTCGACGATCCACTCGGCGTTGGTCTCGCAGAGCGTGGACGGGGTGTTGCGGAAGGTGTGCGAGACCTTCCTGCCCGTGCTCAGATTCTCGAGCGTCGCCACGCCCGTCGTCCTGGAGGTGGCCTGGACCGTCATGCGGATCTGGTCGCCCGCGCTCATACCGAAGCCCGAGAAGGAGTACGAGTAGTCCGGGATCCACTCGTACCAGGCGTCGTAGCTGCCGTCGCCGTAGAAGGACACGCCCGTCTGCAGGATCGCCGTCTGGCACGTGTCGCCGTCGATGCCGACCCAGGCGGACGCGGCCGAGTTGGGGTTGCCGTTGTAGACCCGCGGCACCGTGATGGTCCCCGTCACCGTGGTGAAGCCGGATCCGATCTGCACCGCGCCGGCCCAGTTGGACGAGTACTCGACATATGCCGTGTCATTCTTCCTGGGCGCCGAGTGGTGCAACGGCCGCGCTCCACCACGCCGCGTCAACGGCGCAGACGTCTGTGGGAGGGCGCTGGCCAGGCCGGCGACGGCGGCGATGAGGAATGTGTACTTCATGATGGCGATGAAGGTGGACAGGCAGTCTTTGAGCTGGGAGCCCGGGCGCGTGGCAGCCTGGGGACGGAGCCATCTTGGAATCGGCGCGCACGCTGCCGGTCTTATATGCCCAGAGAAGGTCAAGGAGAGGCCGTCGCATATCGTGTGCCCCTCCCGGCCGGTTGCGTAAAGACCGGGCGGAGGGGACCGATGGTATGTTGCCATCGAGGCCGAGCTGTCGATAACATCGAGCGCTATACCCTACAGCGCAGGCGAGGGGCTCTCGAAGGCAACCATTGGTGGCCCCAGAAGTGTCCATGATAGTGCACTGGTACCCTCCTTATCCCACGCGGGAAAGCCCACACAAGCTCAGCACGGGGGAAGTCGGGTATCAGAGCCCAAGCCACGGAGAACAAGAGCTTAAAGGGAAGGTCGGCGAGATACGAAGTTACTACGACATTCGGGCCGTCACCCAAGAAAGAAGGAAGATGGCATTGTATCATGATCTTGCGTCCGCCCGCCCCGGCCCGCGGTCTCTGGCGCTTAGTGGAATGTTGCGATACGAGTAATAACGAACGGCTTCGAGAGTGGACAGTGGAGTGAGGGGCCATCCGGCGCGATGGCGGGTTACAGCGGATCGTTTCCTCCCTTGGCAAGTCGTAGGTTTGAGGCCAAGTGCAAGCAGAAGAGCGTTCCCGCCTCCTCGCACGATGCGATGTAACCCCTCGGCAAGGCTTGATTCGCTTAAGCCTCAACGACTCGAGGCCATACTACCTTCCTTTTCCTTGGCGAACCGCGGACCTTGCAAATGCCGATGGTGCCTAGTTCCGTTATCTCCAGGTTCTGTCATTGTAACGTTAAGGTCGAACAGTGGAGTTGTTTGCGTGGCACTTCACGCTCCCTGGGCATGGTCAACTGCGAGATTCCGAAGATCTCTCTGCTGGGCCCTGAAGAGGAGCTACATAGAATACCGTCAATACTACTGTTACTACACTCCCTTAGTACCTATCCATATAATAGTACTAGTCGCCCTTAGAAGCTGAGGGTGTAGTCAATATAGGATCATGGCTAGGAGAGGAACGGCAGTACTGCAACGGGAGATCTGCAGAACTGAACAACGACAAGGACAGTAACCAGGCATTCAGCGCGGGTCGCAGTGTACAGGCACGTATGAGGCATGATCCGCTATTCGGAGAGCTCTCTGAAGTCTGGACAAGCTGAAATGACCCCCCTCTCACACCATGCAGACCTTAATAATTAAGGTAAACATGGCCTCTGACTTCTATCGTTGTGAAACCAGGTTTTCCTTCCGCATAAAGTAAAGTCATTGCAAGGACCTACTGTCCTACATGCCATGATTATATCCCTCGACCGTTCCAGTCCGCTTGTTTCCACCGCGTTGGGGCGAGATAGACGAACAGGCCTGAGGTTGCTTACGCCAATGTGGTGCGGATACCCTCCCACGCTGCGGTAACTACCGCTCCTCATCTTGAGTATATCCCAGCGGATTCCATCAAAATGGCAAGGTGGCCGAGCGGTCCAAGGCGCCACGTTAAGGGATTCAAAACCCTTAATCCAGAATCCGTGGTCTCGAAAGGGGCGTGAGTTCGAATCTCACCCTTGTCATCAACTTTTGCTCCCACAGATGTGGGTGTTGCTGCTTTTCTCTCTTTAGTCCGTCTCCACTCAAGTCTACTCCCCCAGCCCTTTCCGAGCGATCGCATGCCGGATGCAGCACCGGATCAATACCGGCCCTAGTTGATGCCGCAGTAGTCTGAGCTTTTCTTCGTGCAGCGTGGGCGTCAATAGTGGTTGACCAACTGGGCAACAAGAAGCACTGCAACTGCATTTATTGAGCATCCCGAAGACCCGAGCTCCCCATGAGCCTTGTCGTTGTCAGTTTCTCGGTGCCGTCGCGCGCATAGCCGCGCATAGATCTGCACAAACATCAGTCGGCAATCCAACCCCCTTGTTTGTGTCACCGTGGCTTGAGGATTTCCAGTGCTCAAATTCCAGTCATAGAAAAGATCGGATCGTGAAGCTGGCCCTTCGTCGCGGAGATTCCGTTGTTGAGATTCGGATTGCATGTAACTAGCGCAACTCAACATGCACATGCTCAGGCCGGCTTGATACTCCCGCGAACTGGTCCACATAAGTCAGAAAACAGGGCTGCGATATCATGGCAGGTATCTAACTACCTAAGGTACCTTAAGCTTAATCGTTCATTCTTAAGCATTTTCGGCGTTCACATCTCAGGCGCAGTGGGAGCGATGCGTCACAACAGGACCCTTCGAAGTTCCAAAGCACAGCTAAAGGGAACAGCACATTCCAACTTTTTAAGCAGGATAATCGCAGTGGAACGAAAGGTTAAGGAGTTATCTGTGCCTTCTTTTTTTCCCTTTCTTTATTTCTCTTTCTCTTTCTCTTTTTTTTTCTTTTTTTTTTTTTTTTTATATTCCGGACCATCTCTAACCAAGCATTTCTTCAGCGGCGAAGCTTAATCCGAGCAGCGCCCGTGAGCTGAAATCCGCGCCACGTCTATCAGGTCGCCACTTCCATGCGCTCCAGGAGACGTCAAACTTCCAAATCAGAGTGCTCAGAAGCCACTGCAGGACGCATGGAGGGACGGCCAGAAACATGGCTGGCCAACAGCTACGGATCCGTACAATTCCTTGCGAGCAAACTTGGGTGAGCCTACCCATGCTCGCCTCGGTTGGTCATGACTCGGATTCTCGGAAGCTGAGCACTTGTGGAAGACATGGACAATTGGATCGGCGCACCTGCATCCCGCCACCAGCAGTTGCAGATCGCGGATGCAGGCCCAGTCTTGCTTTTGTGCCATTGCTTCTGATCGGACGTCGGAGAAATACGAGAACACGTTAGGCTGGAGACTCGGGCCTCACGCGAGCCCGGCGGCTTCAGCATGCCTGGGCTTTCCGGAGTCTCAGATGCACGCACAAACAACGGGCGCTGCATGCTGTTTGCGATTCAAAAGCCCGACAACACCCCGTCCGACCCCAAGCCATCCCGCCTGTCTCCCACCATCATGGTCTCAGGAAGCTCGTTTGAACCCAGCCATCCCGACTCATGATTCTTCCACGCGAGTTCGACACCGCTGCCGCGCCACTGGGGTCCGAATTGGGAAAGACGCCAGACACCAAGCCCGAGGCAAGGCTCGATGGCGTCGGCATCTGGTGGATCACCTTCGCCGCCGCCTGGACCATCCTGCTGGCCAGCGGCATGATCTTCCTCTACGGGAAACGCAACACGCCTACCCTGAGGCTGCGCGGGCTTCCGTTGACCTTTGCCGGCATCGTCTTCCTGCACCTCTACTGGTTGTCTGTCCAGATCGTCTACACTGTAGGCCCGCTCGCTCCCGAAATGGCCGAGTTCTGGATCATGAGCATCTGGTATCCCTTCGGCATCGCCCTGTTCCAGGCTGGGAACAGCCAGTTTTTCCATGTCGCCAAGGCCCAGAGCCGCTTCGCCCGACCCCCAAGCCAGATGAAGACGCGGTACGACGAGAAGCAGCTGCCTCGGAAGGCTGCCTGGCTTCAACGCATGCGCCGCATGGACTATTCCAAGCGCATGCTTATGTTTGTCACGATAGGCATGGCGTTGCAGGTGAGTCCTCCCCGGAGCCGTACCACGCCGTTAGTCTACCTTCGGCGCAGGGCTAATAGCACAATACACTAGCTGCTGATTGTGGTCGTTGTCTTCATGATCTCGCGGAAATTCCACCCAGAATTTGGCATCCCGGGCACCGAAGTGACGGGAAGTTCATGGCTGGAGATTGCCATGAAGCAGGGCAGGGGCTGGGAGTGGTCAGCAGTTCCGTTTTCTCCGCATTTGCTCATAGCCAAACTGAATTTACATGTTTCGCAGGTGGCCTTCGATCGTTTGGCAATTCATCTGGGCTTGGATCGTCGCGCCCATTATCCTGTGGCGTTCCCGCGGCATCCACGACACGCACGGCTGGCAGCGGCAGACCATTGCCTGCTGCATTGCCGGGTAGGTTTCACCATTACAGCACCTCCAGGCCATGTGAGGCTGATGTTATCCGCAGACTCCCAGCAGCGCCAATGTGGCTCATTGCGCTCTACGTCCCTGAAATGGCACCGGTGAACCAGTATTTCCTTCCGCCGCAATGGTCAGTGTCTCTGAACCCCCCGTACCGGCCGTGGAGCTGACGTAGACAGGATCGCCCTGACCATTTTTGTCATGGAAGTCTGCACCGTCTTCGTCCCCTGCTGGCAGGTGCGGAAACACCAGAACCTGCGCCAGGAGACGCTCGAGTGCATCGCCAACTGGGAGTCCAAGAAGCGGTTCGCCGCCAAGGGCAAGTCATCCAGTGACAAGAGCACTGCGCAGCCGCTGAGCCCGACCTCCACGAAGGTCGGCGAGCCCACATGCTTCGAATCGTGGAAGAGATTGCCCGACCTTGAGGGCGCAAACAGCAGCCAGCCCAGCCTGGGCGGCATCTCGAATGACAGCGTGCTGACCATGGCCGCGCTGGAGCACGTGCTGGACAAGAACCCGGAGCCGCTTCGCCAGTTCTCGGCCCGCCGCGACTTCTCCGGGGAAAACATCGCATTTCTGACAGCCGTGGCCGAGTGGAAGGCCGCGCTGCCGCAGGACTTTCTTCATCACCGCGACGAGGCCGCTCCCGACGTCGTCCGCCAGCAATTCGCCCGCGCTCTGCGCATCTACACCGAGTTCATCTCGCCCCGCGACGCCGAGTTCCCCATCAACATCGCCTGGCACGACCTGCGCAAGCTGCAGGCTGTGTTTGAGCGGGCGGCACGCAGTGCAACCAACGCGGCTGTCAACCCCGCCGCCCCCTTTGCACACTCGGACTCCCTGGTCACCGGCTGCGAGCTCGCCGAGTGGCCGTTATCCACCATCGACAACAGCAAAAACAGGCCGAGCGAATCCCAGATCGAGATCCTCGAGCCCACGCCAGCCGTGATCAGAGCGCAGCCCCTTACAGTCCAGAATCATAACGCACACTCACCCAACAACAACAACAACAACAACAACAACTCCTGCCACGGGGCGTATAACAAAGGCGACGTCCGGGTGCATGCGGGCGGCGGTGACGTGGACATGGACATCCCGCAGTCCTTCGACGCAACCGTCTTCGACGCCGCATACGACAGTGTCAAGTACCTGGTGCTGACCAATACGTGGCCGAAATATGTGCGCGAGCGGCGCAGCTCCGAGTCGTCCTTCTCGTCTTGGTCGTGGGCTGGCTCGTCTTACACTGGCGCGTCTGGGACCACGGCCGCGCCGTCTACTGCTGGTACCGCTTGTGGCATGTCGAGCAGGAAGGAAGGAGGGAATACGGTGGGTGGTGTGAAAGGGCTCTTCGGGAGGCTTTTTCGTTGAAGCACCCAATTTGAAGTCGCACGGGTCATGCATTTTATTGTACGTTATCTAAGGTTAATACCGGGAGGCTGGTTGAGCGTTCGGGAAGCAAGTTCAGGTTGCTTTGGTACTGCTACTAATCCTCATCCCGTTTATTTGGTTCCTGGTCTCGTGGTTGCCTACGGGAGCATATGTATATTTTTATGAGCTGGGCAGGGTAATGATATGAATGTGGAATCCTAGATGCGGTTCCAGCGTGACCCAGGTTACAGCCGTGAACACATGGAGCTTTCAGGGTATCATACGTCTATCCGCTGTGTCCATCCTATCTTCGTAGAAGTTGCAGTGCTCAGTTTCTAGGGTGGAACAACAGGATTGGACACCGCAGTTGACCGATGCTAATGATTACCTGTAGCTGATGGGGACAATGTGACCGTGCCACAAACGAGGCACCATCGGAAGCACGTCTCGGCAATGCCATGCTGTATTCAATATCAACGCAATACTATCCTGCACGCATAGACCTTCAATGCTATCCAAAATCGGCATCCCACATGATACCCAAAAAGAAAACCATGGTCGGTCCATCTGCCCACTTCCGAGACTTACCTCACATGACGAAGAGCAAATCGGTGTCTGACGGACTGCGATCAGCACATCGGAAAGTGGAGAAAATGGATGCAAGATATGACTTACCCAGCGGATGGCTGCACGACAGCTGGGGCTTCTGGGTGTACTTGGTCTGCAGCTCGTCGCGGATGTTGTTGAGCAGCTGCACGTAGCTTTGGTTCGGGTTCTTCTTGAGGGCCGTGATGAAGGCCCAGGACATGGCGCCGGTTGCCTGGGACGCGATGGTAGCGTCGGCGCTGGAGAAAAAGAAAGAAGAAAGGTCAGTACTAGTAGTCCGATATGCTTCAGCTTCCAGGCGGAACTGAACTCACGACGTCTGATCGTCCTTGCTGCCGCTCCACATGACTATATCGGCGGGCGATGTGTTGGTCCGCTTGGACTGCTCGTAGGCGTCGTTGCTGCGCAGGGCGTTCTTGGCGAAGCCAAACACGGTGCTTGCGACGCCGCCGATGTCTTTGCGCGCGAGGTGCCCCGCGATGTTCACCAGGCCCTGGCCGGCCTCCTTGGCCAGATTGGGCTCCTTGAGCAGGCCCTTGGTGCTGTACACGTAGGGCAGGTCCATGACAGAGCCCGAGTGGCAGCTGTCGAAGACAGCCGTTAGACGCACGCCGGCCTGCAGCGGCTTGACC